GGGAAAAGATGCTCGGGGCGGGGGCGGGCCGCTCTCCTCCCGGGATCGTCCTCCCGGGGGGGGGGGGAGAGGGAACCCCGAAGGACAGGCCCGCGACGGGGTGTGGGTGGGGGGGGCCGGCTCCGAAGCCGCGGCCTCCGAGCCCGACTCCGCCGCCTCCGACTCCGCTGCCGCAGCTGCTCCGACCGGTGAGGGCTCCGCACTGAGGCTGAAGCGCAGGCGGCGGCCGGGCACATACCGCGCTCCCTCTCCGGGGGCGGGACCACGCCGCGGGCACGCCCACCTCGCCAGCTTCTATTGGCTCAGATTCCCGACCTCTCTTCTGATTGGGCGCTGGAGCAGTCAAACTTCCCTCGGCGTTGGGTGCGTTCCGCGGCGGGCGGCGGAGCGGCCGGAGGCGGGGAGAGGCGTGGAATGGACGCGCGAGGCGGGGAGCGGCCGGGCCTCGGGGGAGCCGCCTCCCTCTCCCCGTGCGCACCCCGCGGCCGCTCTACTGCGGAGCCCAGGGCTCAGGGGTCGTCATGGACGCGGCGGAGAGGCTCCCGGGCTCGGGCCCTCCCGCTGCTGAGGAGACCGGGCGGGCGGCGGGACCCGACGACGGGTAAGGGCGTGCGGCGACCTCCGAGGGCCGCATCCCCTCGAGGGCAGCCCCCGACGAGCCTGGTCCCTCTCCCAGACGCTGGCAGTTTCCATGGCTGGCGACTGCCCAGATGTGAAGTGTTTTGGAAAAAATGAGCCCAGTCGGCTGTTGTGCTGTGCGGCCATGTGGACGGCCGGGCCGGGCCGGGCGGAGGGCGAGGGGCAGTCCCAGAAGGCGGCTGCTCTCCGGGTCCCAAATGCCTTAAAAAAAAAAAAAGAATGTGCACCCGTATCTCCAAAAGCATTAATGGGCAGCAGCTCGAGAGAAAGATGCTTTTCTGTGTTAAAAGCCGCCTCGTCCCTTCCCAATGGAAGCCCGCGAGTTCGGGTCCCCCCCGCGGGCGGCCGGCATCCCCGGGGCCGCCTGCCCTTTTGGACCTGCGGCGGGCGGCCGGGGTCGTGACCCCTGAGTGTCCCTCTGAGCCTGCAGTCACTCCGCTCAATGCTCTAAAACGTATATGTTTAGACTTTTTTTTTTAAGATGAACTTTTAAATATTTTTTTTATTGATCTCAGAGAGGAAGGGAGAGGGAGAGGGAGAGGGAGAGAGAAACCTCAGTGATGAGAGAGCATCGTGGATCGGCTGCCTCCTCCGCGCCCCCCACTGGGGATGGAGCCCGCAACCCAGGTCTGTGCCCTTGACCCCATTCGACCCGACCGGGACCCTTCAGTCCGCAGGCTGACGCTCTACCCACTGAACCACCCGGCCAGGGCCAAAGATGGTTTATTGGAACAAGTAGGTTTTAAATGCATAGATTTCCCCCAAAAGGTTAGTGGGTGATTTTTTACGAAACAGGAAGGGTGTGTGTCAGGCGCGTCAGGAACTGATCACCAGGTTTACCGTAAAAAGCTAATGAGTCTTATGCTCTTGCAGCAGATTTTTAATTAGGAGAGCTGGCTGTCCCTACAGGGTGTGTCACCTGTAGCATGTCACCGTCTTGCCATGTTTAAGTTCTATCTGCTCTTTTTTTGTTGTTGCTGTTGTTAATCCTCACCTGAGGATATGTACATATTTTTTAATATATTTTTATTGATTTCAGAGAGGAAGGGAGACATAGAAGCATCAATGATGAGAGAGAATCATGGATCTTCTGCCTCCTGCAAGCCCCACGCCGGGGATGGAGCCTGCAACCTGGGCATGTGCCCCAACCCGGAATCCACCTGTGACCTGGTTCATAGGTCAGTGCTCAATCGCTGCTGAGCCACCCGGCTGGGCGAGGATATTTTTTTCCATTGATTTTTTTTCTTTTTCTCTTTTTAGAGAGGATGGAAGGGAGGGAGAGACACAGAGAGAGAAACATCCATGTGGTTGCCTCCTGTAAGCACCCCCATCCGGGTGGGATCGAGGTACCTCACCCCCTTCACTCTGGGGGGTCTGACCTCTAACCACATAGCAAAACCGGCCAGGGCTCTATCTGCTCCTTAACCAGAAGAACGTGGAAAGAGCTGTTGTGTAAAGCACTTAATCACATTTAAAAAAGAAAATGTTAAGGCAATTGCAATTTATTTAGAGGCCTTTTATTACTACTTCATGTTACCTGTCACTAAAATTTGACAGGAATCGAAGTAATAACATACTCATGAAAAGGAACACCAAATTTTGTAAGAATGATAAATACTACCTCTGCCTAATCTCTCCTGTCTGATTTATCAATGACATAAACCTGAGTATTCTCCCATCTTTTAGGTATAACTTTGTTTAATCCGTTTCGTGGGTGCCTTCCTTTCAACCACATTCAGGTTACTGACAAATCCAGTTATTATTTTCCTCCCTGTTCTTTTTTTCTTAGTTTCTCTAATTTTTCTATGCAAATTCTTTCCAATGATTAAAGGTTTAAGTACTTTATAGTATACTTAAACATAAAAAGCAAACCTTATAATAGATTATTTTCTAGAGTTCCTCCTTTCAAGGATAAACTGGTGAGAATAGACATTACTCCTAACATTATGAAAAACTGAAGAGTCTGATGAAATTCAACCCCTCTGAGAAGACCAATGAAAAAGTTAGAGACAGCAAATTGAAATGACCATAAATAGAATAAAAATGTGACTCAGTGCTTTCATTTGATTCTTTTCTTCATCTACAATGTTTTTTTAATCTTTACTAATTGTCTTTTAATCAAGTACAACTTTGGAACTATGAACTGCAGTTAATTACTGTTTCCATGAGGTTAATTATTCACCTCCTCAGTCATATCACATAAACAAAATACAGCCCTATAAAAACATTTTTTTACACGTGCAATGGCCCCACCCAAGATTGCTACAAATACCAAGTGCCTCTCCAGGCTAGCAAGTGGCTGGGTCCTCAGAGCTACTTACTCTCAGACTTCCTCTTTGCTGCTAGGCGAAGTGCCGCTAGCCTGCAATGGGTGTGGTCTCACAGCCACTGGGAAGGCAGTCCACCGTCACAGGAGAGGTTGGAATGCACCCACTTGGTGTCTATTCTCACCAAAAGCACAGTTCCTGAGCTTCTCTGTTCTTTTGAAGATTAAAAAATGGCTAATGTCTCAGGATCATAATGTAACCTATACGTAAGTTCCAGATCTTGCCCTTCGTAACAACTAAAAGGCTGTTTGTTGACCTAGAGCTAAATTGAAAATAATTCTCTTTTGACTAACAGCTTATAAGAATTGCCTAAGGTTTTTTATTTGTTTGAAATTCTTCTATTTAAAGAAGAAAGTAAGGTTCAGGAAACCTCTACACAAGCTTCTGCTACTACTTCCCTTTCTTCTGTTGGTTTCCTGCTTTAATTGGCCAACTTCCTAGCCTCACTGATAAGCCCTGCCAGACATGACTTATTTTTCCAAAGCTGAATTTAGATTTGCATTAAAATAAGTATTTTAAGTCCCTCTTCTGTAAAATGGGGATAATATTGGTATCTTATCTCATGGATTCTTGTGAAGGTGAAATGAATCAACACATGTAAAGCGCTTAGAACAATGGCAGTAGCACTGTTAGCTATAATAGTAATTATTAATAGCAATAATAATTAATAGTAATGATAATAATTACTCTCATTATTCTCTGAGTGAATACATTTTGTTGTGCAATGTGATTCGTTGTCAGGTCTATTACTGAAAAGCCAAACTGGGAATTGTTTTAAAAACTCTAATCATAAAATACTATTTAAAAAGAAGCTAGCTTCCCAAAATGAGATTATTTAATTCATTTTTAGAAAGAATTTCCAAAGTATCTTGAAATACAGACTGCTGCAAAAGCAGTCAGATTAAGCAAAGCTGGGCTCAGTGCCCCAGGTACCAGCTATTGACAAATAACTTTTAAAAAATACTAAAGAAAGAAGAACTGGGAGCGAAAATCAAACAACAAAAAACTGGCCTCAATACATATGTCATATACCATTAAATCTAAAAAATTTTTTCATTTGCTACCTATATAAATTAAACCTCTGTTCCTTGTGACATTACACAAAAATGGTGAGAGAAATTTTTATCAAATTTGAAGAAACTATTTGAATGTTCTCATTTAAAATACTAACTATGCCCAGCCGACGTGGCTCAGTGGTTGAGTATCAACCTCTGAACCAGGAGGTCACGGTTTGATTCCTGGTCAGGGCATATGCCCAGGTTGTGGGCTTGATCCCCAGTATGGGGTGTGCAGGAGGCAGCTCATCAATGATTCTTTCATCATTGATTTTTCTATCTCTCCTTCTCCCTTACTTTCTGAAATTAATTTAAAAAATTTTTAAATAAAATACGTGAAATTCTTTTTGAGGGATCCCATAATAGCTGGAATGGGAGTGGGGTGGAAATCAGTTATTTTTCCTTCATTCAGAGTGATATAGTAAATATTTCAGTTAGCTCAGTTTATGTTAATATTGTTTATACATAGATCAAAATTATATGCATAGAGCCTCCAGATATTTATTGATTTTTTTCAAAGTGATTTTAATTCTAGATGTGGTGTTTTTGCTTTTGTGTTTTTTAATATATTCTTTATTGATTTCAGAGAGGAAGGGAGAGGGAGAGAGAGTTAGAAGCATTAATGATGAGAGAGAATCATGGATCGGCTGCCTGCTGCACGCCCCCTACTGGGGGTTGAGCCCACAACCGGGGCATGTGCCCTTGGCAGGAATCAAATCTGGGACCCTTTAGTCCTCAGGCCGACGCTCTATCTACTGAGCTAAACTGGCTAGGGCTTGTTGTTTTTTCTTGTAAATTCATAGCATTAAATTGAACTAACACCCGTCCCAGAGATAAGAAAGTCTTACTTGTATATTAGCAAAACTTTAAAATTTTTTTATTTTATAAATAACCCCAAAGTCAAAACCATACCTGTCTGAGAATGAAAACAGCCTCTGTGGTAGATTGTATTACTGTTCCTAAATAATTTTGTCCCTCCCACTGGTAGGATTTTACCTCCCCACCTTGTTGAATGGCAGGGTTGGCCTCATGTCTTCATTTGTTCAACAAAATGAGGAAGAAAGTGATATATACCACTGCTGAGCGTAAACTTTAAGAGTAATTGCTTGGTTCTGTCATATTTTTCTTTTGCAGCACGAACAGCATGTCTCACAAAGAGGATGTCCTTCAGCTGGGTCCCAGGATGATGGCACAAAGCTGAAGATAACTGCGACTGACAGCATGAAGAGAGAGACACCTGACTGTAAGTCATTTTAACTTGGGGGTTATTACCATCAAATGACTTGACTTACCTTGACCAGTAAATCATCCAACTCAGTGAAGAAGACTTAGCAGCCCTGAGACTAGTGTGGATTACAAAGAGAACTCGGAAAGATAGGCAGTAGACCTCCAGAGCGGTTGAAACTTAATACCAATGAGAGAACAGTCAGAGTAGACCTCTTTCAGGATCAATTAAAACCAAAGGTTAGGTAAGAGATGTTGGATTGCTATTTCAGCATGCCATACATATTTGGACATTTTAATTGGGGGAATTAGCAATGGTTTGAAGTATGAGCTCTAAACCAGTTATGCTGTGTTGGCTTTATGCTGTGAAATCTAATGTTGGTTCAACATCTGGCATTGGTCACATTTTTAAACCCTGAAAAAGAAAAATGAGCCTGGACTTTTGCCTGTTTATGTTCATCCAAAGGTAAGATCATATTACCAATGCAGGAGCCAATTACTAAACTCCACTGAAACCATTATTTATAGAGCTAAACTCAGACATCTGAGAAAAAGCATCCAAGTCCACAGTAATGTGTTTTGATGTTCTGGGGAAAAGGGGAATCAATATTCATCCTCTATATAGCTTGGATTCCTTCAAACTCTGTCTTTACTTTTCAAGCATCTGACATTTACAGTCAGCATGTGATTCCCTCTGTCCAGTTATAAGTCGCAACAGCAGCTCCACAACAGAAATGTTGACTCATGATTCATGATAGAGCTGCATCTCACAGCAACAACACCATGTGGTGTGTTGTAAGGCAGAATTTTATTCGTATGCACCCCAGATAGGAGAAACAGCCTAAATGGAGTAGGAGAATAGAATAAAATAATGTGATACTTCCATATAGTGGGATAACATAAATTATTTAAAATCAATGATCCCCAGTATCATGTATTAAAGTAGATAAGTCTCAAAAACACCGTTGAGGAGAAAGAAAAGTTAAATATTGATGTGTATAGTATGATACCATGATTATAAAATGGTAAAACATGCAAAACAATATATTTATAGATTTATACACATTTGGTTTAAAAGTTTCAAATGTGCAAAGGAATGATAAACATCAAATTCAGTGTTTGGTTATTATCTCTGTGTATATACAATGCCGAATGGGATTGAAGACATACATGTACACAGAGAGCTTCATCTGTAATGATTGATTTAAAAAAAAAAATCTGAAGCAATATGGCACCTGGGTAGTTGATTATGGATGTTCTTTATATTCTCTCTTTTTCTCTGTTTGAAGAAATCTTATTATGTTGAAAGCCATTATTTTTCCCTAACAATTATAAGTGTAGAAAATATTACAAATACAATATTCAATTTTTAAGGTTCCTTTTAAACTTTATTTAATTTTTCCTAATCAATGCTGGTTGATAAAACCAGTAAGCAATATAGCTACCCTAGAAATATATTTCAAGAGTGCAACCAACAGACACTATCCTTGAGCTAAAGACTTTACAAAAGGTAAGAATGACTAATATTTAAATGAAACTTATAGAAAAAATTATTTGGTTCTTCGCTTATATTTATAAACATAAATATGTAAGTAATTCTTTCATTAAACAAGTATGAGTATAAAATACATGCTTCCAGCCCTAGCCGGTTTGGCTCAGTGGACAGAGCGTTGGCCTGCGGACTCAAGGGTCCCAGGTTCGATTCCAGTCAAGGGCATATACCTTGGTTGCGGGCACATCCCCAGTAGGGGGCGTGCAGGAGGCAGCTGATCAATGTTTCTCTCAAAAAATAAATAAATAAATAAAATACATGCTTCCAGGCCTGGCTTGGTTGCTCAGTTGGTTGGAGTGTCAACCCGTGCACCAAAGGGTTACAGGTTCAATTCCCAGTCAGGGCACATACCTAGGTTGTTTCAATCCCCAGTCAAGGTGCATGGGGGGAGGCAACCAATCAATGTTTCTCTCTCACATTGATGCCTCTCTCTCTCTCTCTCTCTCTCTCTCAAAAATAAATAAAAACATATCCTCGAGTGAGGATTTATATGTATATCCTTTCTTCCTTTGAAGTTAAACAGCTATTTATGCCCTGGCCGGTGTGGCTCAGTGGTAAAGCATCAGCCCACATACCAAAGGGTCTTGAGTTTGATTCCTGATCAAGGGCATGTACCTGGGTTGCAGGTTCACTCTTCGCCCCCAGTCGGGCCTTGTGCAGGAGGCAACCAGTCAATGAGCCAATGTAAGACATGGATGTTTCTCTCTTCTTCCTTCTCCCTCTCTCTCCCTCCCTCTCTCCCCCTCTCTCCTGCCTCCCTCCCTTCCACTCTCTAAAAAGCAATGGAAAAAATATCCTTAGGTGAGGATTAAAAAAGAAGAAGCTATTTATCTTTGTAATATTGCTGTTAGGGATGGTATCAATTGCTAAACTTTATGGCTATAGAAATTATAAATTAACTAGAGGCCTGATGCACGAAGATTCGTGCAAGAATGGGCCTTCTGCCCTAGCCAGTTTGGCTCAGTGGATAGAGCGTCGGCCTGTGAACTGAAAGGTCCCAGGTTCGATTCCGGTCAAGGGCACATGCCCGGGTTGTGGGGACGATCCCCAGTGGGGGACTTGCAGGAGGCAGCCAATCCATGATTCTCTCTCATCATGGATGTTTCTATCTCTCTCTCCCTCTTCCTTCTTCTCTGAAATCAATAAAAATATATTTAAAAAAATAAAAAATATGCACAAAAATTTAAAAAAAAGAAAAGAATGGGCCTTCCTTCCTCTGGCTGCCAGCACCACCTTCGCTCCAGCTGGAGCCGCCTTTCCGCCTTCCCACGCTGCCCAGAAGCCCAGAGAAGCTGGGGTGGTGCAGAATGCCTGCGTTACGCCCCCGGCTGCTCAGTGCCTGCGTATGCAAATTAACCCAACAAAGATTTGCATACTCACTCCTGATTGGCTGGTGGGTGCCACACAGGTACAGTCAATTTGCATCTTTCTCTTTTATTAGTGTAGATAAGGTCACACAGCTAATTAATAATAAAGTTGGCAATGATACACCCTCAAGCTAAATGTGGCCTTTGCCCTCATTTCTTTTGAACCATTGTACAAATGCCTACAGTAGACATGTTTATGGATGTAAAAATGCCACAAGGGTCATAAAATCTCTGGGAGTAATGTCCCTAATGAGAGGCTCCATTGGCAAGCTGAGTAAAGAACAGGTTGTACTATTTTAGATAGAGATGAAGCTCCGATAAGTCAGAATTGGAATGCTCCGTCTAATCCATTCTGGCGCATTTTAGCTAAGTGGCATACAGGCACAGTTACCAGACCTTTGGATTCTTTGGATTCTTAAAGATAATCCAATCAAGAAATATGATTTTAAAAAAATAAAATTATATGACTGATTTTTAAACATAAGCAGCTCATTAAATTTTTTAAAACACTATATACAAACTATCTGCAAGAATAATTTAACTGCTCTGAGCAGTCAGATGATGAGGTTTTTTCCCTGACAGATTCTACTCCAGATCTGTAGTCCCAGCCATGCACATCCCATTTCCCTTGAAACTGCTGCAGCTACCTTGCTACCAGGAGAGGAGCTAGTCTCCCAGCAAACCAACACACCCAGGACAAGGAGAGATGGAATCTGTAATCTCAATGACATTCATGAGCTACTTACTCAACCAGCTCAGATGCCTGCCCCACTTTGTTACATGTGATACATTTCTTTATTACTTTAATCACTTTGAATCTGGGTTTCTGTTAAGACATTCTGACTGATTCAAAATCACACTGTAGGAGATTCTGTCTCCTATAGTGTCTGTGTTTCTCTTTGCCCTGAGAACAATTTATGACATCTACTTCCGCTCTCATTTTTTAACCCTACTGAATTATATATCTATGTTTTAACCTATATACACATGATATGACTTGCATTATTTAAAATAAAATGATGGAGTTGGAGATACGGAGAGCATAAGAAGCCAGCACCTAACCTTCAGTTTGGACTCAGAATCATTTTCATTTCATTCTAGATTTGCTTCCCTTCTCTCCCAACAAAAATAATATTGAGCCATATTAAGACAACCAGCTTTGCCCTTGTGTTAAACTAGACTTCTATGCTTGTGCCTGATTGATTAATGTTTGGACTTTAACTTGCTATTCTTCATTCTTGCCAAAATGATCAGTTTTCCTTTACCTAACCAACTTTCCTCCTGGGAGTTTTTGCTTATGCCATTCTTATCCCCGTATATGTCCTAAGCCCCTTTCTCTACTTATCAAATCCCACTGACCTTTCCAGGTCCCCATCTTACGTCTTCATGGTGCTCTGCAATTTCTTATGTAACAGCCCTTTTACCCTGGTAACAGCTGTTACCCTCAGAACAGCCATTGAAGATGGGCAAGTAGGTACAATCTCATTTTGCAGGTGTGAAAATTGACACAGAAATGTTAAGTAATCTGTCCAGCATTTTAGTAACTTGCCTCAAAAGTACCAAGTATTTGACTTTATGTCTTTTACCCCTACCATTGTCCCTTTCCATTTTCATCTGGATATACTTCCTCTTTCCTAAGAATTCAGCTCAAATGTCATTTCTTCTGAGAAGTCTTCCCTGGCCTGTCCAGGCAGAGTTAAGGGGTCCTTTCTCTCTGTATCAGGGTTCTTTTGGTAATATCTTCATTTATTGCAGTACTCTGTGTGCCTCTGTCTTCAAACTAGACAGGAGGCTTTAGTGGGGTTTTTTGTTTGTTTGTTTGTTTGTTTGTTTTTTGAGGATTTAGTATTTTTAACTTTCAACATATCTACCATCATTTTGAGTAACATCATTTTCAATCACATAATTGAGGCTGTTTAATGTAACATATAAAATAAAAGAAATATATAAGAACAAATGAACCTTTCCGACACTTTTTGAATCTTGAGTAAATTTATTCTTTATTATATTTCAGAAAGAGGAGGAAATTTTAAAAATAAAATTGCAAAAGGGCTGTATGGACCCCTTGTTTTTAGTGACTGTCTACCTGTGCCAACCACC